CGCGGGTTTTGGGCAGTGTGGAGTAGCACTTGTTGTTTGTCATTTTTCCGATCACAAATAAGAACAGTATAAGTCATTATACTCAGTAATTAAGTGCCCACTGGATGCAACAAATGCCTCGTTTGTAATGGGTTTTAATGTTTTTGTCTCGTCGCTCCGGCCGGGACACGGCATCACAGTATGGTAAGGGGCGTAACATTTCCGTCTCACGCTTGAGATATTCGGCCAATCAGAATGCACTGGATAGCTGGCCAATCACAGCACAGACCGATGAGCTTTGTAAAAATCGACGCATTTCAAAAAGGCGGGGCATAGGTGAGAAACAATAATGTACAGTATGTGGAAAATAATGTGTTTTTTTTTTTTTACTTTAAACCGCATAAACACATTTCATTACACCAAATACACAAAATAATGTTCTTTTTAGCAGCATCAGATGACCCCTTTAAATCTAAAAGTGCACCGTGTATAAAGTTATTGTCTCTCAAAAGAAAGAGTCGACTCTGAATCACTGAAACGAGTCGTTTTTAAACAATTCCCAAGCTGTCAACATGAAACATTAACATATTGCCCGCCCACTTGTTGGTCTTTTTGCGTTGGTCTGAATGAAAATGCAAATTATTTCTTTGTCACTAGGCGCCGCTGTTGGAGCGGTAAAAATTGCGGTTTCCCCGGTTACGTTGTTCACAAAGCAGCACTGCGCTCACAAACGCTGCTTTATCAGGCATTACAGGCATAATTAAATGAAAATGAGACCAATCGGACCAATCACCGCAGATTAGCGGCACGCAAATGAGGGGTTTAGAAAAATGAATCGTTGAGCGAATCGTTTGGGAGTCCTTGAGCAATTAAGGTAAAAACAAATGCATATTATAAGACAATGAATGTGTTTTTTGACCTTGCATGCATGTCAACCTGTTGTTGGGGACTCCCAAAACCAAAATATCAACCTTTCATAACCCATAATAGGGGCACTTTAAATATTTGTTTTATAGATAATAACCATATACACTGACATCTTCCTTATGCATTACCGCAAATAAACATCAATATATTAATTTATCAATATATTAAATTGTTTCTGTGAAATTGTTCTGAAGTGTTTATCTACTGCACATGCTCTTCAGAACCTTATACTGGACCG